CCGACCCTAGAAACTATGAAACTATGAAACTATGAAAGGGAGGGCAAGAACAACCCTTTGCTGGAAGTATTGTCCACGTACACCTCTATCATGCTTCTCATCCTAACCCTCCATCCCCTCAATCATCAAGGGGCCATGCTGGCATCCCAGTGGCCTAGCACAGGGCATGGAGTGAGGACAGGATGACCCCCAGCCCAAAGGGCTACCTTCTGGGAGCAAGGGCACAGCCCAGCCCAGCCCATGTCCACCACAGCTTCAGGGGGGGTGCCCTAACTACTGGCATCTGAATCAGGAGGGAGGGCAGAGCTGTCCAGCTGCCCCTGCTTCCCTTGACCAAGCTTGTGTCCATACCTAAGGCCTCCAGGATGTGCTTCCACCGGTCCTTCACCTCGCGGCGGATCTGCCGGTGGGCACTGATGTCAAAGCTCAGGCGCCGGTACCCCTGCAGCAGAGGAGGACAGAGCTGAGTGTCAGACTACTACAGCTCCCACTCCACATGGCAAACCTCACCTACTACCTTCTCTATCCAGCAACAACTGCCAGTTCATGGTCCCACACACTAGGAAACCCAAGGGAGCTGGATGGGACAGTGATGCTTTGGAGAGCAGATCCAGTGGTTCCAGCAGGGGGTGTGGAGCAAGAGGTTGCATCCTGTCTTTAGGAGCAGCCTGGTGTCCAGCAAGTCAGAACAGGAGGGATGGGTCTGGGAATCAGCTGGGTTGCATCCAGTGTCGTTGAGCAAGGCGAGCCGAGTGCTAGGACTCCTGGCATCTAACCCCAGCTCTTACTCTGCCGTGTGAGAAGCCCCAGTGCTTCCATGCCTCAGTTTCCCCACTTGGAAAAGAGAGGCATAGAGAAGGCCAAAACACTCCAGTGCTCTGGAGATGCAGCAGTTTGGGCAAGACCCCATGGACCTCACCACAGTGCTTCCCCCTGGCCTTATTTCTTCTCTCACAGCCCCTTTTTGGTTGGAAAATTATTGTTTGGTGTACTCCAGCAGCACCTACAAGGCTAAGTAGAGACTCAGAGCACCACTGTGCTGGAAGCTGCACACAGAGTGAGGGCAAGCCCCTGCCCTGAGCTCATAACCTGCAGGTCAAGGAGGGGGGAAACCCAGAAGTGATTTGCACCAGGCCATATCCCCCAGAAATAATGCTCAGAAATCCTGCCCAGGTCCAGTACCAAGCACAAAGGCAGAGAATGAATGATCTCCCACAGGAGATACAGGCAAGTCCCACAGCCTGGGGGAGGGCCCCAGGCAGATGGGGGTAGGGGCACCAACCTCTGACCCCCGGCGCAGCTTGGCCCGCTTCTGCAGCAGGTTGTAGAGCTCCCGGTCGTCATCCCGCTCCATGTGGGTGGAATCCACGGGCTCGTTCCACAGGTTGGTGGCCTCAGCCCGTTTGCGCTTCACCAGCTGGTTGAAGTACTGGAGCGTCTCACTCCTACGACAGGAGAGACCCCATCACTCCCGTGGCCTACATCCATCCCCCCACCCTGCCCCTGCCCCTGCCCCTGCCCCTGCCCCATCCTTGGGGCTGGGGCTGAGCTTCCACACACAGGAATGCACACAATCCTGAGGCTAGTGGCTGGAACGACCCAGCTCCAGGGCAAGTGGGGGCCACTGTCACCCAGCAGAGCGGGGAACAAGGAACCATCAGGCACATAGTATAGTAATAACTCTCTGGTAAAGGGTTTGCAAATGGTTAATGCACAGTCAACAGATGATTAAGTTAGGGGCATGAAGAGCATGGGTGGTGGACAGCTATATGCCTGTCCAGGTAGGCGTGCTGTAGATGCGTACAAGCCCATCCAGTAGGGGCACATTCACAGATTGTAAGGCTGGAAGGGACCTTGGAAGATCATCAGGTCCAGCCCCCTTCACATTCATTGAACTCAGCCCCCTGCTCCTAATCAGAGTTAAAAACCAAGGATAAAAAGACCCCCCTCTCCTACAATTAATTGCCCCAGTGTTGTGTGCCCTGGGGAAAGAATACGCAGGCTTGCGTGGGCAAGAAGTGGGGTGAGTGCCCTGAAAGTCACTCCATAACCCACACATCTGAAGGACAAGCAGGGAGGGAGCGCTGAGGTGGCAGGGGCCTGGCACAGAGTCTCAGAAAGAGGGGGCAGCTAGAGGTGGGCAGCAGGGGTGTTTCAGACTGAGGTACCCTAAGCTGGGATACTCTGGCACCAGGGGCTTTGGAAGGCGAGCCCATTTTGATGTTTATAGAGAATCCCCCGATTTGCCTTCCAGCCAGCCATGGGGGTGCTGGGGGGTGGGGAAGGGGAGCAGATAGCAATTTCAGGTGTATTATTTCTTCATCATTGGGGTGTATTATGACTAGCTCCCTCCTGGTTAGCCAGAACCCCTCACCTGCAAAGGAGGGGGGGGGGGGAAGACCATTTACAGCTTATGCTGCCATGGGCACCCATCTCCCAGGGACTTCAGTACCTTCCACAACTTGCATGTTAGTGCCTGTTTGGACCCCACATCTTTTTTTCTCATGGGACCATGAAGGCTTCACGCAAAATGTTTCATGCCAGGGTCATGGAAATCAGGCTGACTGGGGTGGACCACTGCATAGTGTTCAGCATGCTGCACCAAACACTATTCTACAACCAGTTCAGGATAGGTGATGAAAGAGAAAATGCCTTAGTCCATTGTGGGATGGTTGGGAGTTGCAATAGAGGCTGCAATAGAGGCAAACTATAATTAGTCTAGATGAGTTCCAGCCAGGAAAAGTGCCCTATTCTTGCCAAAAGCCAAGACCCCTGGAGACAGACTCGTATGACAGACACCAGATTCACACACCTGAGAACAGAGAGTAGCTTCATGCTTGTAGCCCTGCTTTAGCACCCATTCCTATCACAATCAGCCTCCCTGTAGGATCTTAAACAAGCCACTTCCTCTCCCTGTGCCTCAGTTTCCTCTTCTTTACAAGCAGGATAATCTTGCCTTTCTCATCCACTTCTTCAAAGAATGCCCTCCCTAACTTAGTACCCAGTATAGGGCCTCCACGCTCAGCCAGTCCTAGATGCTACACTGAGAAGTAAATAATAATAATAATACTAATACCTGATGAGTGGATTTTTTTCTGGCTCCTCTTGTCTGCAGCAACAGCAGAAGAGTTGCAGACAAACATCCATGTTCCTAGCTTTTAAAGGATAAACCTTCTCCTGACTGCATGCAGCCACTGGCTAAAATCAAAAGGAAGAGCCACAAAAGAAAAAGTGTCATCAATGATATGGGCATTTGATCGCACAGAACTTTGTTTTCCTTCTGCAGGGAAACTGCTCTGAAAAAGAGCAGCTGGGAAGTTCAGTAGTTTCCTTATTCACAAGTAAGTCATAAGCTGCAATCATGTGAGAGCCCCCTCACTCAGGCGCCCAGCCTGGAGCAATAAGCACAGCAGGCCTCTTGGAGAATGGACTCCCTATCTCTGCAGTGTTTGAGGTCATGGAGTGATGTAAGTGGGCTTGTTTTTTCTCCCACAAGGACAGCACATGGTTTGGGGCACTTCTAAGACAGCCTAGACCCACCGTGGGAAGGCAGAGGCTGGGATGAGCTGGACTGATTCTTGGGGAGATGACCCCCGAGTATTGCAGATGGCTCTTGGGTGAAAGTGGTCAGGCTTCATGAAAGGGGGTGATTTAAGCTCAGAACCACCAAGATGGACCCTTGAGGTTGACAGGGACTCAGGTAGCCATGAGGACTGACATGCCCAGAGGAAGTCCCCTCCTCTGAGATCAAGGTGTTATGTGAGTGGCAGAGTGCAAGAGTTACACAGATTGCATTCTGTCAGGGCTGTCAACTGGACCCCTTTCACCAAAATCAGTCTCCCCCAGCCCCCACCCCTAATCTGCTTCTGAATATACTCCAAATAACTTGCATTGAGTGCTTGTACAATAGTAATCAGGCAGCCTTTGTTTTCTCCTCTGTCCTGCAAAGGTAGCAGCCTATCCCGAGACAAATAGTGGGGTCAAAAGGCACAAACTGGCTTTGATCATTGACTCTGCTTGGTTTTTCTCCCGAGATTTCACAAAAGAACAAACTACTGCCTTTCTCTGCCACCAAGGCCTATGGTATGACATGGGATAAGCTGACCCTTCTCACCACCTTTTGTATAGACATGACTGACCCCATAATGGGTACAGCCTGCACTGTGTGATCAGAGCCATTATTCTAGGCTCCTGTGTGCTATACACTCTGCTGTCCAGTGGGAGAACACAGGAGGAGGGTGTGTAGGATATGCTGGACAGACAGATACACACACAGCCATAGGTGTGTCCAGGCTCCCCTACCTGTGCCATCATCACCCCCTGTGGGCAGCAGGTCATACTCACGCTTGGCTGTTCACAGACAGTGGCCTGGCTTGGTGGTTAGCAATGGCTTCATTAGATCAGGCTTGGCCCGTACAACATGGGCTTCACATTTTACTAGATAATTAAGAGCTGGCACTGGGAAAGGGCTGAAGCTCTGCTGATCCCCACAACCCAACCCACAAGGAATTCATGCCATTTATGGACTGGCTATTTGCAGGCTGTCTCTGCTTTATCAACACCAGACACATGTTGGCTACAGGCAGAAAGGTTCCGACTGTTCTGGCATTGAGGGAGCACACATCAAGGACAGGCTCTCATGTGCCCCCAGGACAGGGAAGGTGGAGACAGATGGATTTTGCTGCCATGTTCAGCTGAACCCAATTCCTTGAATCGCTGATGATTTTGCAAGGCTTGGAGCTTTGCTTTATTTAAAAGAAAAGCATGAGGTAATGGGCCAGACATAGCCCTGATGTATGCAGAAACAGTTCCAAAAGCTTCGAGGGAGTGAGGCAAGGATGTGACTGCTATGGAGAAAGGGAGAGGGTCTGACTCATCACCTTTGTTAGCTGCAGCAGCAAGGACAGTACAAGCCCTGGAGAAGACCACACTGTATCTCTCATAGTGCTGGACAAAGGTGAGGGAGAACAGGATACCTTGAAAATACAGATGAGAAAGCAGACAGAGAAGGAAAGGGATTTGTCCAGAGTTACATGGCACAGCTGTAACCACTGGATTTGGGTGCCTGAGGTGGAAAGCACCAGGCTGAGGGGCATTCCCCCCCCCTGCTTTTACTTACTGCTACACAGTGAAGACCAACAGCTGGATGCTACTTACCTGCAGATGATTTCTGCAAATTAACTTGATGCATAGGAACAGCCCTGCTGGATTGAATGCATTAGATCATGCCTGGCTAGTACATGGCTGGGAGAGCACCTGGGACTCCTAGGTGCTATAGGCAGCACTGTCTTCATGACCCCAGCAATGCAGAGCACTTAAACAGAGCTGGCCATCTGACTCCTATTAGGGCTTTTCAGTTTAAGTTTGGCTTTGCTGAGCTTCCAGTGACTGTACACATGCTGAGGGGTTGCAGCACAAACACTGGGGAACAGAAAAAAGTCTCTTCTGGTTTAGGTTTTTATTTGATCAAGTTACAAAGGTTGCAGGCAGACGGCAACAGGTTGTTAAAGTGACCAGCTCTTTCTGCCAGGTCCCCTAGACACATGGAAGGCCAGTACATACACAAGAACCACAAATCCTAGGAAGACTCACTGTACAGGTGGCCATGTAGAGGAATGTCAACCATTTCCACAGCACTGAAAGGTAGGGTAGATAGTGCAAAACCTTCCCATCTCCTCCCCACACCCTTCTGCAAGGGACTCTGGGCAAGAGGGACTGAGCAAGCTGATGTATTTTCAACCATTAGGAAATTGGTCACGGCTACACAAAACACTTATTCAGAGGAAAAGGCCATAGCCAGGCCTATCAAAAAGCTGATATTAATATTTCTTCTTAATCCTACCCTCAGCTCTCTGCCCTTTACAACCTACCCCTCATCTAAAGGGCTTCATTATTTGCACAGAACACAGGCATATTGCACTCGATGAAAACAGGCTTACAACTGCCTGGGTCTGACAGCCCTCACTGCAGTAGACGTTCCGAATTGGATATACCCCAACCCGGTCACTTATTAATCCAAACAGCTCTTAATAAGGCAAATTTGTTCCCTTTTTTCATATTTAAAAATCATTCCCTTCCCTGGCCCCCCACCCATGTGCCCATTAGGTGGTAATGGTAGCAAGATGTAGCAAGAGTAGGTTTAGGTAGACTCCAGTGCTCCATCATTCACTGGATGTGGTGGGGAGGTGGTCAGGAACATAATTTAAGAGGCTGAGCCTAACAAAGGTACAGGAAAGCTATTTAAATAAGGGCTTAGGGTGGGGGGAGGTACTTTGTACGTGTCCATGCTCCATGTCCAATCACAAAGGAGACCCCACTGTGTCTGTAGCCAGGGGTGCATAGATATTGTGGATGAGCAGAGATGTTCACCCCTTGTTTTCACAGCCTTTAGATGAAGGGGAATGGGCATCTGGAACAGGACAGTAGTAATAATGGGGCAGAGGCTAGGTACCAGTTATAGGGTCCTCGCCCAGGCACTTTTAAACCATCAGAAGTTTCCATGATTGGCTCAGGAGAGTGGGCAGGGAGCTCTTTGCCTCCCCACAACCTGGCTTAATACTTTTACCAGTGGGCTTACTCGTACCAGTCACTGGAAACTGAGTAATGATGCAAGATAGCGAGCAGCATATGAGACATGCCCACAAACCACTCCTTGGCCCAAGCTATCCTCTAAATGATCAGAAGCAAGAGGGTCCCACAGACAGTAACACACTAGGATCTGCAGCTCCCATTCAGAGTCATGGCATCCAGTGTCACTCTCTGGCAGCTAAATGCACAGCGTTGCTCTTTTTCCTTCTCCTGCTAAAGGCATTTGGGTAAATGCAGTAGTTCCAGATGAAAGTCTTCACATGGTTATCACAAAAAAAATTTAAAAAATGCTAAGACAAGTGGGAAGGGCCATACAGTAGTGATGGTAACTTCTGGTAGAACAAGGAGGAGCAGAAGCGATCAGCAAAGTATTTGGCACATGTTACAAGAGTTTAAATCATAAAACGCTTCTCCTGATTCCAGCTGTTAGTTTGATCAGCGATTGGAGGCGATGAGGAAGACATTTTCTGGAGCATGCAGGGACTGAAAGAACCAGTCAGACACCCCAATGCATCTCCCACCCCTTTCTGTTCTGCACAGTTTGTGCATTCACATGTTAGTGCTGGGGTGTTGTTGGGTTTTTTTGGTTTTTTGTTGCGTTTTTTTTGCAGTCATAGCCACCTCCCTCCCCTGTCAGGTCTCAGCTCTTCCCTGAGGAGGCTGCCAGGAGATGCTGTGGTTTGCAGCTATGTGGCAGGGTCTCTGCAGCTCACAGGCAGTTTTTGCCCCATGTTTTGGACGTTGTTGCCAGGGATGTGTTAAGGAGAGAGGAGGTAAAAGAATATGAGACGAAGCGTCAGGAGCTGCTGCTCAAGGCTTGGCTGAAAGCTTGCTGATGTGCTTCCGGAGGTGGAACACAAATTCAAACATGGTGGCTGCCAAGCTTTGATGAATAAGGTAGCGAGGAAGTCGACCCTACAAGAAACCCCAAACAAACAGATTATGATTCATGTAGTTTGTAACACTCTGGGTTCAGACATACAGTTCCTGTAAAGCCAGTTTCACTAGGAATCAGCTACATAAAAGACTTCATGACAAAAAGCCACCCACCCATTTCAAACTGCACTTGACCTTGCCCTCTGGTTTCTAGCATGAGTCTGTTCACCTTTTGGTCACAGAGGGCTTCAAGACAGATTTTCCTGTGAATTACACCAATGTGTCTCAAGAGCCAGCTGTTCTGAAGCAACTGCATTTGTGTGGGAAGAGCAGTGGTGGAGACAAGTCTGTCCAACTGATCTGACAGCACTACAGTCAAAAGCAGCAGCAGCTCACAGGGCTTCCACAGCAAAGATACTCAAACTACTCTTTTCCCACGGGAGGGGTCTGACATCACAGTGAGACAGGGACCATCTTTTTTATTTTGTTCTGTTTGTTCAGTGGATAACCTAGTCATAAGGGCTATCTTAAGACAGCCAAGAACTTCAGCAAATGATCAGTGATAGGTCCTGAATTACTCTCCAAAGCAATTCCAACAGCACTGTCTCCCACCAGGATTTCCACAGTGTGCCAGAGGGGTGGGACTAAGGAAAAAGTTTTTTGTGGGTAAGAGATGGGAAGTCATCTTATAGGAGCATATGAGAGAAAGAGGGAGAGATGTTGGCAGCACATGTTCTTAGGAGTCAAAAAGGGGAATATCTGATCAAAACAAGCGTAGTGTGGAGTTAACCACACATTTCAATGCTAAAGAGGCCCAGGGTGAATCAGAGAGACTGATTCCAGTCTCTGATAGTGGCCAGCACCAGATGCCATGGAGAAAGGCATGAGTATAATAGGCTATTAACTGCCCACTTAAGAAATTCTCCTAAAAACCTCACATGGCCAGAAAAGGCCCTAAAGTGTAGCACATAC